GTTCAACCTAGCCTCTCGACAAACCCCTCGATGAAAAAATGATTCTTTTGGTTCAACCTAGCCTCTCGACAAACCCCTCGATGACAAAATGATTCTTTTGGTTCAACCTAGCCTCTCGACAAATCAAGGTCATCATGGCAATCATCAATAGTGGCATAATAAAAGAGCATCCATGACATATCAAGTTCATCATGGGAATCATCAATAGTGTCATAATAAAAGATCATACATGACATATCAAGTTCATCATGGCAATCATCAATAGTGGCATAATAAAAGAGCATCCATGACATATCAAGTTCATCGTGGCAATCATCAATAGTGGCATAATAAAAGATCATACATGACATATCAAGTTCATCATGGCAATCATCGATAGTGGCATAATAAAAGATCATCCATGACATATCAAGTTCCTCATGGCAATCATCTAGAGTGGCATAATAAAAGATCATCCAGGACATATCAAGTCTTCATTACACAGCCACAAAACAAGTTCAACATGGCAATCCTCATCCATAATGAGTTCAACAGCCACAAAGCTACAGACACAACAAGTTGCAACATGACATAGTTTGGCAAAATGACTCCTTGGTTGGACCATCAGCTTGGGTGCATTACACAGCTAGTTGCCACTAGCATAGAAGTAATCCTTGAGCCTGTTTGGCCTCTTGGTGACCCTTCTACCTGCAGCTGAAGAACTTCCATCCCTGTGATCAGTGGAAGGCCTTGGAGGAGCAAATGAAGACCTTGGTGCTGGTGTAGTCCTTGTTGGTGCAGCCCTTCCTCTAGCAGCTGCAGATCTTGGAGCAGTAGAAGCCCTTGATGTGGAAATTGTGCTGGCAGAAGGTGGAGCGGGTCTTGGAGCAGATTCTGGAGCAGGTCTTGGAGCAGCTGCTAGAGTAGGTGTTGGAGCAGCTGCTGCAGCAGGTGTTGAAGCAGCTCTTGGAGTATGAGTAGGAGCTGTTGAAGTTCCTGCTGCAGCTCTTGGAGCAGCCCTATTCTCCTGAAACAAAATAGGTCCAGCCCTATTGTATCAGAAACAGTTTTTGCTAGCATCTTTGGAAATAAAAGTGCAGAAATGTAAATGTACCTTGTGCTTGTTTTTCCTAGCAGCAAGTGCTGTCTTTAGAGCATCATGGCAGTTTGTGTACCTATGTCCCTGCCTTCCACAATTACTTCATGTAATCGTTCCAACCCTAGATGTGTCCTTTGGTTTTGGCACCTCAAATTGGCCCTTCCTTCTCTGGGTCTGTTTTCTGCCCTTCTTTCTATGAAACACAGGTGGATCAATGTCCCTTGTATCAGTTCTTGTCCAAAGACCAGGACCTGGAATAGGGTAGATCATTGGTTTGTATGCTGCAACATACATTGGTTTCTTGAAGAATTTATGAACAAAATCCTCAGGTTATTGTTTTGATTTGTATATGGCAGACACTACATGATTACATGGTACACCTGACATATCCCATTTCCTACAGCCACAGGTCCAATCTTTCAAGTTGACAGCATAAGACTTCTCACCACTATTGACCTGGAATAGATCTGGGCCTACCATCATGGCCTTGCAATTTCTAGCCCATTGCTTGGCTCTTCTAGCATCTCTGCATATGTTGGGGTAATTTCCCATCTGGCAGTCTGCCCTCCAATCCTTTTCTCATTGAACTTGACCATCAATTTTCTCATGGCACCTTCAACCATTGTTTTAATGGGTTTTCCCCTAATATCCAAAATCATCCTATTGAACACCTCACTAATGTTGTTGACTACTAGGTCAGTCTTACAGTTTGTGTCCATGGCATGCCTAGCCCATGTTTCAACAGGAATTGCCTTGAGCCACAACCATGCATCCTCACTCTCCTTTCTAATTTCTTCCATTGCTAACTTAAACCCATTTTCAGTGTAAGAGTAAGCAGTTGCATCCATATATTTCTTAATTTCATCCCCCCTAAAGCCAGCACTTTGGAAATTTGCATAAATGTATCTTAAACAGTATCTTTGAGGGCAATTTGGAAATATTTGGTCAATGGCATTGAGCAGACCCTGATGACAGTAATGAAGGCACTAATTTAGCCACTAACTATGTTTTGCAACTAGTATCCCTAAGTAAGAAATAACGGCACTAATTTAGTAACTAACTATGTTTTGCAACTAGTATTAATTTACCTTTTGTCTGTCTGAAATAATTGTGTAGTATCCAAATTCTCCTGATTCTCCACCAGTAGCTATCTTTAGTTAAGTGAGAAACCAGCACCAACTTGGAGTATCTTCCTTCGCAACTACTCCAAAAGCTAGTGGATATATGTTATTGGTTCCATCTCTACCTGTAGCAGCTTAGGATTTGTTGACCTGTGTTCAACTTCACAAAGCAACCATCTAGACCTGAAAACAATTACACAAGACCATAGTAAATTTCACAAAACCTTAATATGCTACACTTATATATGGAATTGCACTAGTAACATACCTATGAAAGGTCTACATCCTTTGAGAAAAACCATCCCTTTGAGCTGCCAAACAAATGAACAACCTATGAAATCTAGGGTTTTTGCTTGGATGCTCTTCCACAACTCCTGTTGTCACAATGCATCCGCTTCCTGGGTTAGTGTCAAGCACAGTCTGGAGATAGTCTCTTATCCTAGTATATTGTGCTTCCTGATCACCTTGGACCACACTAAGAGCTTGTTATCTTTCCCTGTAAGCCTTCATCTTCCCAACCTCCACACCAAACTTCTCCTTTGTCTTGTCTATCACAGTCTCAATTCCTGCTTTTGGATCTGTCCTGAAACTATCCTCAACTGCTTTGGCCACATACCTAGCAGGAATCTTGCAATTCTCACCACTTGGGGTACATGTATGCTCTAATTGCAACTTCCCAATACAAAATGTTTTCTCATTTGCTATAACAGATGCAACCATGTGGAAGGGGCGGTCTTTCTCAACACAGTCAACAATTACCATGTCTTTGTTGTTCCTATGGTATTGGAAGTTCCTCCTTTGAGTGACATGAAGATTAATCAAAGCTCTCCTGAACTGATAAACATCAGTAAAACACATGTGAAAGCATATTTGCTCCTATGGGGCAAGCTTGTTCTCATCATACCATTTCCTGGCCTTCCTCTTCTTTGCCCTTGACTTCCTGCCAGATGAGGAGCAGTAGAACACAATCTCTTCATCTGAATCAGCTTCAAGTTCCACATCTATGTCCTCATTAGACAATGGGACATAATCTTCTTCAAGTTTAGCTTCTGAACTACAATGAGATCTTGTTGTGGGTCCTCTTCTAATAGGCAATTTCTGCATAGGTGCTGGTTCAACAAAGCCCTCTTCTTCCTCATCAGCCTCACAAAATAAATCTTCTGGCTCAGAATCACCTTCAAAAACCCTCTTCCTCTTCAGGTCTTTTATTTTCACATGTATGTCTGCATCCTCATCCTCTTGCTCATCTTCACAGCTATCAGAATCCATCAGATCTTCCTCCTCCATGTTTTCTTCATCCTCCATGTTATCTTCTTCCATGTTATGTTCTTGCACTTCTAGAATGTCAGCAAACTCATTAAGGAAATCATCTAGATCTGCAATAGTTGCCCCCTTCCTCACATTGCAACTCTCCTGAGTGATAAGATATTCTCCACATGAGTCCTCTGTGTGTACACTGACAATTGGAGCAAAACATGCTGCTTGTTCTGCCTTTTTATTTGCCTGACTTGCATACAACACACCTTCTTCATCTACATTGTATATTTTAGGTGAACCTATCTGTGAAATAGGAATTTGCTGCTCATCTCCAATGTTAATCTGCAGTTCTGCCCTCTCAATCTCTCTACCTTTCATAACAGTGATAGTAACACACATCTTGTCCTCATATAACTCCAACATCTCTTCAACATCTTCATCACTCCTGATTAGTTGCATCCCTGACATTCCTACACCATCTTCCTTCACATAATACATGGAATCACTCTGATCATAGCCCTGCATCCCAATGATTGCTAACATATTCAGGCATGTTATATCTGACTGATACAGTCTCCTTTCCAGATTATCACATCCTTGGAAATGGAATCTCACTTCCCATGGTTCATCATCATCCAAACTGCAATTTATAAACAAGTTAACTTAATAGTACATTCAGTTCAACTATAATTCATGTCAACATAAAACACAGGTGACAGTACATTCAGTTAAACCGTAATTTATGTCAAAACACAGGTCTACATTCAGTTACACTATAGTTCAGTTCCAATGTCAGTTAACACTACTTTCAGTTAAACTAGTTGAAAATATTTTCAGTTAACACTACTTTCAATTAAACTATAATTCAGTTCCAAATAATTCCAGATAACACTACAATGTATATTGAGTACACCTCAAGATAGCTAAGACATACACGAACAAATAAACATGAACAATTCAGTTAACCCTAATTCCTAAATTCAGTTAACCCTAATTCCTAAATTCAGTTGGCTAAGAGCAAAGTATAGACTCTACAAAAAATTATACAGAGCTAAGTTTTCCTAGCCAATTCAGAGAGTTAAGAGGAAGAAGAAGACTCATTCCACGCCGCCTAGGCCAGAGGTGAAGTGGTGGCTCTGTGCAGGATTTGCCTTCCAGACCTGGGCCAATGATGTTGCCGCCCGTGAAAAAATGTCGTCGGAGGTGGGCTTGAACTTGCTGCCACCTTGCTTGTCGAGCTCCTCTCCGCTGCCGGTGAAATATCCACCACTGCCAGGAACGCTAGCATGGGGGCGGTGGGAGAGCGAGGAAGGGCAGTGGGAGAGTGACGAAGGGCAGAGCGGGCACCGGATTCAACAAAACTAAGGTCGTTGTCGGCACATCTGCCGCCGCCGTCGGTGGCCATGGGGGAGATGTGAGCACGAGCGGGTAGCCAGGGGGAGTCGAGACACGATTGGGGGGAAAGTGGTGGTAGGGTTCGAGCAACTCGTTAGGCTTAGCCCGACGTCGTCTAATGGCACGTCACGGCCGCTGTCTCGCCCTGCCCACGTGGCCCCTGACAAAGGGACCCACCGGTAAGAAATCCACTCTAACGCTCTAAATCGCGATATCAGCGTTTTTTGAAAACTGTCACCCCAATGTTGGTGTTTTTTGGAAAAAAAACTGAATGGTGGCGGTTTTCTGAATTAGGGTCCCCAATTGTCGTGGTTTTTTGCAATTTACTCCTTCCATTGACATTGCACGTCTCAACCCATCATCTCCAAGATAACGTAAAAAGTTTCCTAATACACTTATTGCTTGGCTCAAATAGCTGTCCTCCAATTACTAACATTAGCTCCCTTGGAATAGTGTATTGAATGAATTCTTATAGAAAGGAAGAGTATCAAACAAATTACTCCTGACAAGTCATGGGGCTTCTTTGCTCCAAGGTTCCCATCTCCCTCTCCCTCTTTTCAATTCTGGACACGGGCTGGAGTAGCACCCCCATCTTTCTCTCTCTCTCTCTCTCTCTCTCTCTCTCTCTCTCTCTCCTTTCAGTTCTGGACACGCGTTGGCATAGTGCCCCTTGTTCTACACTTCTTGGTGTAGCGCCTCTTCTTCCTTCTCTTCATGGGTGCTGCCATGAATTCCTGGATAGCTTCCTTTATTCCTTTCCTCTGTTGCTGAACCACTTCTTGTGTCTTGGTGAGTAGACGACACTGGGCTGGATTGTGGTTAGTCGCTTTACACATAAAACAGGTGACTTCCGTAGTGGGACATTCTTCACCCAAGTGACTCGCTTCACAGTAGGGGCATCCATCCTGGTGTTCCTTGTAGGTGTGTCCTATTTCTCCACAGATTTTGCATGCGTGGTGCATCTTCATGTTTGGATCAGAGCAATCCAAGAAAATTATTGTTTGTTGGTGCTCGGATTCTATGGATGTATAGGAGTTGCTCATGGGGATTTCCCATCAGTAATCACTGCACCATAAAAGGTTCAAATCACTAAATCAGCAGTCCCAGAAGAACTAGAATTATACAGACAACAAAAAGCAAACAAAAAAACCAATATAGTGGAATTTGGGGGCAAGCGTAACCCCAGATCCATCTAGATGGATTTGCGCTCTAAGCGCCACCTGAACTCGGGAGCGCTGTAAACTCGAATGCACCAAGAGAACGGCGGCCAAACAATGGGACAGTGCACCCCGAGTCAAACAAATGAAACATCAACACATAAAAATGAAAGCATCAAAGAGGAGTATTAGGCGACAAATGCGAATGTTTTGAGAAAAAAATCAAGCTTTCAATTTATCAACATTTGCAATGCAAAAGTAAGATAGAACTAAATATAAAATGGGGATGTTAACAAGGCTGAGACATCCAAGGAAGGAATTAGCAGCATTGGCTCTCAAGCCTGACTGGGCGAAAGCTCTTAGGCGGCAACTGGGAATGTTTCAGAAACAAGCCAAAAATTTATCATCATCGCCATAACATATCCTCAAATCATATCGACGACAACTTGTTAGCTAGTCATAACCAAATTTAATCACAATAACCAGTTCTGTAGACTGGCCAAAATACGGTCTCAGGTTAGGCCGAATAGCCCCTGGTGTCCTTTTCCTTCTAAACTAGCTGCAACAAATAATTAGATACAATGTAGAAAATAGAGCAAACAAGTTTAAAGAGAATCCCTCAGGGACTCGCTTAAAATCAAGCACACAACTAAACCAAACCAGCTGCAAATGGAGATTCCAGCCCAGACCAAACCACAAAGGTTATGGCCAAATGAGGATACTTGCAGTGAGGAGAAGCAACTGTTGTTTACATTGTCATATGGCACTTCCTATGGTCTGATAATTTAAGAACAGACAAAATTAACTATATATACTAGGACCTGAAGCTATTGGTATTAAGCCGCGAAAATATCATCATTCAGAATCTGATGGTAATTCCAACAAAAAGCTAATCATCATGGGCTTCAATTGCATAATAACTCAAAATAAAATCGGTGGAAACAAGGCGTATCATCAGAATATAAATGCCTTCTTATTCACAGGTAAATAAGCACTGTGTGAGAAGGTGTCCTAAGATTGTTTCAAGGTTTCGTCCCATGATACTCACGAAATAACAAAATAAAACAATTGAAAAACCGATCTCCAATGGATTCAGTTGCAAAGATGACATCACACGGGCTGCTCAAGCCACCCTCGGATCGAGTGTTGAATTATAAATCAATACCTCCTCACGATCCAAACAGATCTTGTAAGAAGCAAACGATGAATAACAGTGAAGAAGGATACATAGTTGCTCAGTGGTGGCAATGTTTAATTGGTTTAGTTCTGCCAGCGATGTCGTCAATGCTTTCAGAAGAGGGAGCTTGTTATCCTCATCGCAGCTACATCCTCCAAAGCAAACAAACCCATCAAACACAAAAAGACGCATGAAAGATAAACAACAATGGATGGCAGGCTAAAAAAACAGGTATCATATGGCTCGGTCCAGTAGGATAATCGGCATACAATCGATTCCTAAGAGAAAACCTGTGATTTGGTCTGTTGATCTTGAATATTTGCAAATCTTCACTGCCATCATCCAAGGAAAATAAAAATTCAGAAATAATGTCGAACCAAATGAGAAAGGCTCACACTATTCATCAAAAGCGTCATGAAAGCATGATATCTTAAAATAAAATTCCTGTCTTATTTTGATCAACTCACAGTACAGAAGTAAGCATAGCACCATACGACCACTATGTAGTCAAATTTTCATCTACGGAGTCAGATTCATAAGTATGTCAATCATCATAGATGTACCGACGCAGATCCTAAGACTGGGGCGACAAATATGAACTCATCATCCTCATAGCTACAATATAGCCAATTAAAAATCAGGTAGCTAGGTTCCTATATCATTACAACTATATCTGCTCTGTTTTATCCCAATTTGTATCATCTTGTACTCTACATAATTATTACAGCTGGTACTACATGAAAGTTCTAAAAGAATTTTAGTTGTCCAACAATTTGCATCACAAACTGGTTCTTAGATTATATTTATAGAATACCCAGAAGACATAACAATAACATCAAGCAAAAGTAAATGGAAAGGAGCTGAGTAAGAACGTAGCATTGATAGTCAAACACCTGATACATCATATTAAGTGAATTTTCGCATCAATGCTCCAAATCCAAGCAAAAGAAAAAAACCTTAAATTTAGGATATGGTTTCTCAGATGCAGTTGTTAAACATAATATGTGTCACATATGACAGAGTCCAAGATATCCAAGAGGTTGCGCAGGATCTAGGAAGATAGCTAGTTTAAGTTACATGTAATTCTATCTTCTCTTATCCCTTGTAACCAGTTCTATCTCTTGCTCTCCAAGTTGTAAACCTCCTGTAATATCTCCAACAATGTATGCGCTACAGGGAGGTGCGCCCCTGCCTATAAACACGTAGCACGTCGCCTCAGGTCGAGGCAAGACGTTTCCGCCTATCGCACATGGTAATCAAAGCCTCCTCTTCCAAACCCTAGCTTTTGATCTCCACCAGTGCCAGCCATGTCTTCCTCCAGTGCCACCCAATCCAATTTGAGCGGTCAGGTCACGGAGAAGCTCTCCCGGACAAACTACGTCCTGTGGCGCACCCAAATCACGCCGCAGTTGAGGGGAGCCGACCTCTATGGCTACGTTGACGGCACCCAGCCGGAGCCGTCCCGCCTTCTTGTCACTAAGGACAAGGACGGGAAGGAGTCGTCTGAGCCCAATCCTCTCCATCCCATCTGGGTAAGGGAGGACCAGCAGGTTCTAGGCTACCTGCTCAACAACCTCACCAAAGAGGTGCTCATCGCGGTCACCGCGGTCACCACCGCGCACGCTCTCTGGACAGCACTCGCAGGTATGTTCTCGTCGCAGTCCTTGAGCCACGTCAACAACATCCGCACTGCCTTGATCAATGCGCAGAAAGGGAACCAATCGGTGGCTGCCTACTTCGCCGCCATGCGTGGCCTTGCTGATGAGCTCGCCGCGGCCGGCAAGCCCATCCAGGACGATGAGCTGATGTCGTATCTGCTTCACGGGCTAGACATGGACTACCAGCCGCTTGTGTCTACCCTGGATGCCTGCGTCACACCGGTGTCCCTCGATGAGCTCTACGCCATGCTGAGCAACTTCGACCAGCGCGTCACCCAGTACCATAGTGTTGGCGGCGGGTTCAAGTCTTCGGCGAACGCAGCAACCCGCGGCCATGGTGGGTACTCCTCCCATCACTGTGGTCCTCCTCGCGCCAAGGGCAAGCACAGCAGCGGCAACACCAACAACTCCGGCTCCCGCGGCGGTCGCCCCAACTCCACCAACAACAGGGGTCGCCGCGGCGGCTCCAGCCGTTCGCGTCCCGACGCCGTTCGCTGCCAAATCTGCGGCAAACCAGGCCACACTGCCAAAGACTGTTGGTATCGTTTTGATGAAGATGATGCCTCCTCTGAAGATGATGACAAAGTTGCTACCGCCGCCGAAGGATCCTATGGCGTCGACACAAACTGGTACCTTGATAGTGGCGCAACCAATCACCTCACGGGGGAGATGGAGAAGGTGACTCTCCATGAAAAGTATCACGGGAAGGACCAGATTCATACGGCCAGTGGTGCAGCTATGAGCATATGTCACATTGGTCACTCGGTTATACGTACCCCTTCTCATAAAATTCATCTTCGCAAAATTTTACATGTTCCTAGTGCCAACAAAAATCTCCTATCCGTTCATCGCATTACCATTGACAACCATGTCTTTATTGAATTCCATCCCTTTTTCTTTTTGATAAAGGATCATGCCATGAAGAAGGTACTATATCGAGGTAGATGCGTTCGAGGGCTTTACCCGTTAAGTGCCTAGATGTTTCCACCGGGCGCGTTTATATTTCCCGTGATGTTGT